GCATTCCTCCTAGATATCGTTCATTGCAACAACCTTGTTTTAGGCGAGTGATGTAACTTGCATGTAACCTTAGAAAAGGCGCGCATCACAAGTCAGCGGGGGGATAAAATCTCCTTTCTTTGAGCTCGGCTGAAAGGGGCGCACGAGCGAGAGGGAGAGAAATGTGAAGAGGGAAAGAAAGAGAGGTTTTGCAAACATCGAGGATCACGTAATCATGGACGATGCAAACGGGTGATGTAAGTGTGAAGACATCCCTGTGAGTGGCAGGTAGTTGTCCAGGGTTTCTCCTCATTTCGAGGATCGCTCTGTGAGCCAGAGAGATAGATTGTAAAGAGATTGGGGAAGTTACAAACAAGAGTAATTCAACTTTTACTTAATGTTGACGAGGAGGCTCTGAGAGGAGGTTTGGAGAGACGTGAGGGTAGTTAGCATATTCAAATTCAAGTTTTATTCTCAACTGCTACAAAGAGTGAAAGACAAAAAATTGTCAGACTAAACTTGTGGTTTAGAAACTGAGGTGGAAATGGTGAGAACCTGCACTGATTTATACCAAATGGTTTCTCACTATACAAACGATGCTGGCTTTGTGTCTGTGAACCAAATTCAGCCTCCTCCCTCAGGGGAGCCCATAATTCAGTCAGATATCAGTGTAATTACCATTGACACACACAATATGATAGCTGGATAATAATGCATTTAATGAAGGGCCACTACAGCCCTGGTATTCTCAGGGGGTTGAGCCTCACTCAGTCCACCTGTGATACAAATATTTGCAGTAAGAGCTCCTCTGTGACGCTTGATATGAAGCCACCAAGTGCCTGTTGTGAGACTTAAATCACCGTCGACCACGGGCGTGATGGTCAATGGGTTTGGCATCTCTTGCCTTGTGGAGTGCACAGATGAATCAACACACATTTGGGAGTCTCTTCTCTTCTTTAATAGCCGGTTGCTGCCTCTTCAGCAGCCGTCCTCACCCTCTTCAATCCATTAATTCCTGGACAACAGCACTTCTCAGAAGTCGTAAAGCGAGTTAGACAAAGTCAAAGCACTCATCGGCCTCTTTCCATTAAAGCTCCTGCACGTCGATATCTGCCCCGTCCTGGAACACCACCATCCTTCGCCTACAGTGTGCAACTGATGGGGCAGTAACAGGGCTAATAAATGGACGACAATAGACGTGCATTTAAGTTCAGCCATTAACTTTTAACAGGTGTATTAGTCTGGAGGAGATGCCCTGCTTTGTTTTCAAGGTTGTTTAAGAATGCTTGTTCTTTTTGATTTGAATTATACATGAAGTCGCTTGCTATCATATTAAATCAGAGGCTTGTCTGACATGTCTGTACGTAGATATTTTAGTTTTAAGCCATATTTTCTCATGAATATGACAAATACACAGTCATATGCGTTTTCAATTATGTGCTCCACTTGCGAGATGTATTTTTTATTTTTGCCAAAGAGGATAAATTACCTTGTGGAGGGAGTATTGCTATTGATTCAAGTGGCACAGTAATTGCTGAGTGAATGGTTGGGTGCGGCCCTTGTTGGTTGGTATGAAGCCATTGATTTTATTCTGCTTATAGTCTCTGCAATGCTCTCAATCAAAACAGAAACAGAGAGCATGGTGCTTATAAATCAAAATAAAACTGTGTGTGTGTGTGTGTGTGTGAGTGTGTGTGTGTGTGTGTGT